AATAGGTCGGTTTTAAAAGGCTTTTTTATGGTTTATGGACTAACCTATTTAACCAAATAGACTTATAAAAAAATTTGATTTGACATTGATCTATATAGACTAAGTTGTAGACCCTTGTTAATTAGTGTGACCTATTTCCATCCCTATTTGTAATACTCTAAATTTTATATTATTAAATTTTTATTTATTTATAATAAAAATGAATGTAGAAGCATTTGTATCACACAATAACAATGCCAACCAGTTCATGAGTCACACAACTTATATGAATCAAGATTTTAGGATTATATATTTTTTTAATATTCACATATTATAACAAAAATTAAACACATATTAGATCCATTTTTTCATACTTATAGTATTATAAAAAAAAGAAGTTAAATTATAGTTTTGGTCCCCTATTTTGTCTGATTTACGAATTTAGTCCTTCTATTTTAAATTCAAACAGTTTTGGTCTTTCTATTTTAAATTCAAACAGTTTTAGTCTTCCTCTTACAATTTTTTCCAAGAAAATCGATGAAATTTTCATTTTTTTAAATTTATATTTTATCTACAATATTCAATAATAGATTTATATACGATAATTTGTCATATTTTACATGTAACTTGTCATTTTAAAAATAAAAATATCATTAATTTTAAGTACAAATGTATGAGAGAGGACCAAAACTATTTAAATTTAAAATAAAGAGACTAAAAACTCCATCTTAATTTAATATCATTTATAAAATCTTCATTTGACTTAGAAACTACTCACGTAAAACTCTATTAGTTGTTTTGTTTGGAGACTATCTGTTTGTAATCTTAGTTCGTTGTGATAATTATGAATAAGAAATTCTTCATTTTAATATTTATTATCCAAAAAATTGGGAGAGTCTTTATAACAAATTAAAAGATATTCTAATTGAAAAGTGACCTACTAGAGAAATGAATTTTAATTTTAATGACAAATATTTTAGTCAGTTCTCATATATATATATAGGTTATTAAAGAAAATTAAGCAATAATGAAGTTAGTGATCGAAAATGGTTAGTTTATTGTGAATATGTTGACAAAGTATATTGTTTAAATATTCTAGTAACGTGAATTTTTTTAGCAAATGAGAGCTTAAGTGATTGTGAGCATATTATCCAAAGACTCAAACAACATGAAAATAATTTCGAATATATGAATAGTATGAATACTTGGAATGAATTGAGAATACGATTGAATAAAATTCAAATAAACACTTACAAGTAGAAATTAGAAAAGATAAAATACCACAACATAATTATTGTCAGTCTCAACCTAAAAATATTCTGCATATAGAGTTACATTCAAGAAAATAGAAACGAAAAGGGTGAGAATGCATTCTACAAAATATATGATCTAATAACAACAAAAGACAATATCTATTGAAATAATATAGCAAGTGTGACTAAGTGAGGAAATAGTCTCACATTGAATAAAAATATGGAGATTTGATAATATATAAGACTACTTGTAACAAGGGTGTTGAATAAATTTTTCAATAGTTGAATTGCTCCAATGAATTGTTGAATAAGGTGTTGAATGTGACATGAATTAATTTGTGTTAAAAATATTTAACATGTTGAATGAGAAATGAGTGAGACCACTTATAATACTTTGCAAAATATAATTGTTTGTTGTGATTGTTTATATTTTTATCTAACCTAAATTATTTGAAGTCAATTATTTTATATAAAATTAAATTTTTATTTATTTTTATTTTCACCAAAATTCATCATTTTTTTTTGTCTATAAATAGAGTTTTGGTTCATTTGATTTGGAAAAAGAAAAAAAAACTATTTTTTCTCTCTAATTTTTCTATTTAGCCTCCGATAAATTGTTGTTTGTAACTCTAAACAATTTTTTAGTAAAATGAATCCCAACAATAACACTTTTATAATAAAAAAACAAAAATATAAAAAAGAAAATAAAAATATGAAATAAAAATGGTTGGGTAAGATGTTGAATTTTATTAAACAAAACCATTGTAGTGAGTAAAAATTGAATGAATGTTGAATTATTATGTGGAAGACAGAAGATGATGTGAAGTGTAAAAAATGGGAAAAATGAGTGTTTGAATAATTTTGTCATTGTAGATAATCTAAGTGAGTGAATCCACTCATCTATCACCTTAAGGTTTTAGTTGAATAAGTGGTGTTATCACAAATATGTTTATTCCTACATTATGTATCGATCGATTAAACATTTAGTATGCAATCAATTTTACTCTATAATTTTTTACTTTTTCGCAACCGTAAACACTTCTAAACTCCATCTAAGCCCCATTTTCAATACCATTACGAAACCATAATCTAAAACACATTTCGACATTAATTTTTTATGAATTTGATATGTTTAATACATCATAACACATCTTCATTAAATCAATATATGACATTGAAATATAAACATAATGTTCATGGAAAAACACATCAAATTTTGTACTTAAACCATACCTTTGGTGATAAAAGATAAATTCATAACTTTGGATTTATGAACCATCATCTCATAAGAAAATTCACATGAAAACTCAAATAATTTGAAGTTTAAGGAAAACTCCACCATCCTAAACACTAAAATATCAAAATTATAGAACAAACTCTCTTTTTAACTTGTTAGTGCATTTTTTTTTTTGCAAAGTTTCTAACGATGGTGGAATCTTTCCCTTACACAATCTCTAGTATGATTTGCTTGATGAATCGAGTCTCTTGAAAATATTAGGGCTATTCTTCTCAAAATGCTAGGTATTTTTTTATATCTCTTATTTTTCATCCACTTAATTTCCTTTTGACTCTCCTTTATTCCCCATTACTCTCCCTTTCCAACTTCTACTTTTTCTCATTTATTCTGCCTAATTCTAATGACTTAATTCTCACTAGTTTGTAATAATAATTATAATAATTATTCAATAATAAAATCATGAAATTAAAATAAAAATCTAAATAACAAAGGTATAATATTTTAATTATTTTAGAGTGTTATAAAACGATTCATGATCACAAAAGAATGATGTGTTAAAAGATCATGTGAGATACATTCATAGTCATATAATACACATTCACAATCATATGAGATACATTCAATTATTTTTTAAAATTATTATTATATATTAAGACATATTATGTTGAATGAAATAAGTTATTTTTCTTATTTTTGACTTAAAGCACATAAAATGTAAGGAATATGATTGGATGATAAGTTCATCCAACTATAAACACACTTTTATTTTTAATTTTTTTTAAAAACTGTTTTATTATCTATTATAATTTTATCTATTTGAAGAGATTATAATTGTGTGTAAAGAATATCAATATTATAAATAAAGTGCATACAACAAAATCTCTCATAGATTTTATATTAAAAGTAATTTTTTCTCTTTGATTTAGTTTTTTTAATGAAAAAATTTACTTTATATATTTTTTAATTTTTTTTTAGTAGCATTTGCTCAAGAATAATATGAAGTATTTTGAATTCATTTTTTTATAAATTAAAAAAAAATAATTTTTCCATTGTATATTTGATATGAATTTTAACATAGTAAAGCCACACATTTTTACATAATATAAATCACACATTTTGATGTTATTATATATTTGTTAATCAAAATCACAAACTTTTATCATTCAAGACAAAAATAAAATATTTAATTTTTTAAAATAATTTATTTAAGTTATTTTATTTTAAAATATATAAAACTCCGACAAAAAAAAGAAGACATCTAATATTATAAAAGATATTAAAAACGGTGACAATCTCTTTTATATATTTGAAATTTTACATTTCATTTTTGTCTTTGATAAACGTTATTATGGTAATTTTTCAACTATGCTAGGTATTCTTAGACAAAAAGAGTAATATTTATTTATATATGTAGTGTGGTTGAATAGTAACTCATCATTCAATTATTCAATGTTAACTCATTTTAAATTTATTAACATAATTTTATTTTTTCATTAACATAATTTTTTTAACCAATTTGCACGTTCTAATTTCATTATTTTTAAATTTGCAATTTTGGTTCTTCATTTTATCAATTTTTAAAATTAAAATCAACATAAAGTTATTTTATTTTACTAACAAAAAAAATAATTTTACCATTTGAGAAACACGTGAAAATAAGGCGCTGGCATGCAAAACCCTTCACTCTATTCTGATTTGTTAACTCTCGTTTTTTAATGTGACCCCTTAAATCAGCCAGTCTCTTATCTCCACGTCACCCTTTCATCTCGCGGTGCAATCCAACGGTCTTCATTCCTATTCTAGACTCTTCCTTTCCCCTCACCCAAGACTACAATGATGGTCATTGTGGTCAATTCTTAACCATGGTTACTTTCTTAACCTGATTCGGGTTAAAGCAAGAACATTCTGAACATACAAATGACAAGAGAAGCATAAATATAAACCCCAAACAAGTTTCACAATTGAAAAGCGTTTGTCTATTGTTTTTGCTTCTACTTAAAACTTTGAGTCAACTCGGAGGAGTTGTCTCATCCTATTATTCTTCTTTAACCTTCAGACTCAATTTCATCTTTCTATTACAGTTACTGTGAGTTTAATTTGGAAGCTCAAATTCAATCCCGTGCAATTTCGTTTTATTTATTAAGGGTATATTTAATTTCATAAGTTTCATTTTTGTGTTATTAGTATGTAAAGTAATTGAACCGTTAATCAGATCAAGTTTGCCAAAAATCACATGTGTTAAAAGGGTGGGTGTGTTTTAATTGTAATGTTTAGAAACTTTGCATGTGTTTTAATTAATTTAAATCTGTATTTAATTTATTAATTATTTGGTGTGATTTATATACATAACGTGTGTTAAGCATGTATATAGTAGGGAATTTGACTGAATCTAAAACGGTATTTATTTATGCAGATTAAGCACATGAGGTTTGTTGTGTTGATGTGAAATTTGTGAGTCTGCAAGTTTTTTTTTAGTATTATTGGGTTGAAGAAGAGAAAAAGAAGAAGGTTTGTTCCTTCTGGGTTTGTTTATGTCTCGGAATTTAGAGAGTCCTGTTCAGACCCAGATGGCAGTTTCATTGATGAGGAGCCCTCTTGGGAGGGAGTACCATGGGAGTCAGAGTCAGAGCCAGAGGCAGCCTGCTGGTAGGAGACGCGTGTTCATCCAAACCGATAAGGGTTGTGTTCTTGGCATGGAATTGGATCGCGGTGATAATGTACATACTGTTAAGAGGAGGCTGCAGATTGCTCTTAATGTGTCTGTTGAAGAGAGTTCTCTTACTTTTGGTGATATTGTCTTGAAAAATGACCTTAGTGCTATTAGGAATGATTCGCCTCTTTTGCTTACAAGGAATCTTATTCACAGAAGTTCATCAACTCCTTGTTTGTCCCCAAATGGAAGGGATATCCAGCAAAGGGATAAAAGTGGTCCTATTGAGATATTGGGACAGTCCAAACGGCTTGATGTAATGAAACATATGGTTATGGACATTGTGAAGGCGATTAATATGGGGATAGATCCGGTTCCTGCTACTGGTGGGCTTGGAGGTGCTTATTATTTTAGGGACAGTAATGGGGATAGTGTTGCTATTGTGAAACCGACGGATGAGGAGCCTTTTGCGCCAAATAACCCTAAAGGTTTTGTTGGTAAAGCTCTTGGACAGCCGGGGTTGAAACGATCTGTTCGGGTTGGGGAGACGGGGTTTAGGGAGGTTGCGGCTTATCTTCTTGATTATGATCATTTTGCAAATGTGCCTCCTACTGCCTTGGTTAAGGTTACTCACTCAATCTTTAATGTCAATGATGAGGTCAATGGGAATTGTTTTCGGAGAAAGAGACTGGTTAGTAAGATTGCATCTTGTCAGCAGTTCATACATCATGATTTTGATGCAAGTGATCATGGTACGTCTAGCTTCCCGGTTGCTTCGGTGCATCGTATAGGGATATTAGATATTAGGATTCTTAACACGGATAGACATGCTGGGAACTTGTTAGTTAGAAAATTTGGTGATGGCATTGGTACTTTTGGTCAGGTGGAGTTAATTCCTATTGATCATGGGCTTTGCCTGCCAGAAACTTTGGAGGATCCTTATTTTGAGTGGATTCATTGGCCTCAGGCTTCAATTCCATTTTCTGAGGAAGAGCTTGCTTACATTCGTGATCTAGACCCTGTTCGCGACTGCGAGATGCTTCGAGTGGAGCTGCCAATGATTCGAGAGGCTTGTCTAAGAGTGTTGGTGCTCTGCACTATTTTTCTCAAGGAGGCTGCTGAATCTGGTCTTTGTCTTGCTGAAATTGGCGAGATGATGACTCGTGAGTTCCACAGAGGTGAGGAGGAGCCCAGTGATCTCGAGGTTGTTTGTTTGGAGGCAATGAAGATGTTGGCTGAGAGGGAGGAACTATCTCCAAGGACTGAGGCGGGTGATGATGAATTCCTGTTTGATATCGACTGTGATGAAGGTGGACCGGATTTCACACCAAAGATGTCATTGTCAGTGAATGATCCTCTACTCAGAGCAACTTTTCAGCATACACTTGGGAATGGACACACTCGCAGCCCATTTTCCAAATTGGATGAAAGCATTGAAGAGGAAGAGGAGGGAAGTGATGAAGAATCTCCTCAGGCTCAAGAAAAAGTTCAATCTATTCCGGAGATTACTGTTTTGCTGAAAAATACCATGTTAGCCGAGAAAAAGCAGAAACACTCAGAAGGAAAACTGGAAAGTGGCTACTCTGTGAATACATCATCTAGCCATAGGAGTGCGAACGAGCAGCTTCCTGCAAGTATAAGCTTTGTGAAGGTTGACGATATGACTGAGGATGAATGGACCTTGTTTTTGGATAAGTTTCAAGAGTTGCTGTATCCAGCATTTGCCAAGAGGAAATCCATAACTTTAGGCCAGAGGCAGAAACAGAGGCTTGGTACTTCGTGCCAGTTTTGAAGTTGAGCACTATGTTGGTATGATGGAGAGAGGGTTGTTAGAAATGGTTCTTGTTTGAGATTTGGATAAAGCTAGATAGAGGAAGAACCATTGTAAATACGCTTAAGTTTCGAGGCTTGTAGTTGTTGTTTGCATTTTGATTTTATGATTTCATTTCTTCTTTTTTTCTTTGTTTTTCACCCTTTCTGTTTTGACTTTTTTGTCTCATAAATAATTTGTAGGGTAAACCTGTGAAGTGAAATTTTTGTATATTATAATGAACGAGATGTAATCTTTTTAACATGTAGATTTGTTGTTGGAGTTACACAGTTCAATCTATTACATCACTTTCTTCTAAGCTTTTAAATTGTACTGATCAAAATTGTCTAAATCTTTATGTATACTGTATACTGTGACGACCACATTGGTTGAAATCGTAAAAGCCTTTACGCTACTGCTGATGGTGAGTTTTATTTAAAATTTTATGCAATCAATTACATACAACATGGGTAGAAGTATAAAATTAGGAAACCATCATTTTTAGGCAACTTGTTATATAAAATTTCAAAGGTTTGATGTGTAATCTAGTTCTTTCCTTATCCATGAGCACGTTGCTGTCACTTTTTTATGTGATTGATAAAGTCACCTTAGTTGGCAGACATAGAGGAATCAACAAACAATAATCAAAACCGGGGATCTTTTTGTTTCTTAGTCATGCAACTTGCATCATATACTGTTAAACCAGCCCCTTGTTTTTGTTACACGTGAGTACTGCATGCTAGAGTGTGCTTCAAGTTTGTATACTCGGAATTTTCAGTTCTTCTTATTGGAAATAACTTTACGATTGATATGAGTTAGTAGTGTGACACAACTAAATAATAAATCTCAATTAAACAATAGGATAAAAATATTTTACAATATCAATAAATTATTTTTAATTTCTTTATTTTACTGTGTCAATGTATTATATTTAATTTTATTATATTTTAAATATGATTTAAACATCTTATATTTTTTGATCTTGGGGGTATAGTCTACGTCTTTGAGCGGCTAAATTATAAATAAATATTTTGTCTGGATTATTTTACTGCCGTCGGAACAGTTAATTTTTTTATTTTATTTTTGTGTTGCAACCAAGATAAGAAAAAATAAGCAAATTTCGTTTTCCATTTTTCCTAAATATGCGACTTATTCATGGGATGGGATGAAATAGACATGAGTATTATCTTATGCATGTAGCAGCTGTGATGCCTAACTTCCTAGCACTGTTTAAGAGCTACAAAACAAAGGTTAACGATGCTGAAATATAAGATAGGACTATAATTTATAAACTTTTTCTTTAAAATCACATCAAATGGGTCCCACTAACAATAGATTTCGAAGATTGCCCATTCAACGTGTCGATGACTCACTTCTCGGACCCGTAGTATTATTCCGAAAAATTCTAAAATCGCTTTATTCTCGAAATTCTACTTTCTGTTATTTTATATATATAGAGAGAGAAAATTAATTTTTTTTTGGAAAAGACAAAATATATTAAGATTCTTAGCACAAGGAGTGCCAAGAGAGAACCAAATTGTACAGTAATGATGCATTATAGTTGTCTTTGATAATACTCCTTAGCCAAAGAAGCCTTAAGAAAAAACTCAGTAATCTTGCTTCCCGCTAAACCCCACCAACAGACTCCACATCCATCATTACAAGAATAAACCAATACAGCCTACAGTTCAAGTTATGCATCGAGAAATTCTTTAAATCCAACAGCCCTGCTAGGTACCAAAAGTGATAACCAACATGACTAATGCGATATCAGTTGCTACGCCTACCCTCGCTGAACGATCACTCTCACCTAAGATCCACCAATTACACACTAACAGAACTCTTCCAGACTGATATGCAGAATGCCATTAAAAATTCGCACGGCAGTTTCTATCCAAGTATAAGCTTTGGATTCAAGTACCATTGCGCCAGATTGTATGCTGCTAAATTATGATTTTTGCTCAACCAGTTCCAAGAGTTTCTTTGGACATCTTCGAATACCTGTTCAACTGATATGGCCTTGTTTTTGAATATGCTGTTATTTTTTACTATTCAGATACACCAAATGCCTGCAACGGTTGAAATATTAGATTAGATTTTATTAGATTTAATATTTAATATAATTCAAGTTTTGTTAGCCCAAGTTCAATTAGAGTTATAGATAAATAGTCATAGTGTGTATTATTATTTGTACAATTGAATAATACGAATCCTTATTTCCTTTATTATTCTCTCTTTCTCTTCTCACTAAAAGTGCATCACGCATTAACAAATTCGTATCCAGAGCTTCCGGTTATTGTTCGTGATCAAGTTTTCAAGAATTTCACGTCAGAGATTGTTTTTCTAAGGCAAGTAAGTCAACCGCTGCGAAGATGGTTAGTGATAAGGGCATTTCAAATTCTCTTCCAATGTTTGACGGCAAAATGGATCCGATGAAAAAACAGATGCAATCCTTGTTTGGCTTCCATGAAATCCTAGAAGTGGTTACCGACAACGTTCCTGCGTTGGCTGCAAATGCAACCGGCAAACAGAAAAAGCCCACAACAAAGTCAAGAAGAAAGATTGCAAGACTGTTTATTGCATTCAAACGACTGTCGATGTTGGTAACTTCGACAGAATCTCTCATGCTGAAACGGCAAAGGAGGCATGAGATATTCTGGTAAAGTATTTTGAAGGAGGTAAAAAAGTCAAGGTTGTCAAATTACAAACTTTGTATCAACAATATGAGTTGTTGTCAATGAGAGAAGATGAAAAAGTTGCAGGATATGTGTCGAAGGTTCAGAAACTCGTCCATCTCATGAAGGGTTGTGGTGAAACAATTACTGATAAGATGATAGTTGAGAAGGTAATGAGAACGTTGACCTCTCACTTTGATCACATTATTGTAGCTATTCAAGAATTCAACAATCTTGAAACCACTAAAGTGGAAGATTTAGTTGGTTCATTGGAGGCGTATGAGATGAGAATTGTCGAAAGGAAAGGAGTTCAGGACTCGATACAGGCACCACAAGCTCAATCGTTGAAAAAAAATGGTGGTTCCAACAAATTCAAAGGCAAGTTCGACAAGACTCATGGCAAGAAGTCTTGGTCGAATTCCCATAAGAATAAGGTCGAAGATAGATCTTCTGAATCCTCGAAAAGGGGAGGAGGAAACTATCGAAAGGACAAAGAAGATAAGAAAGGTATGTAATGTTATAACTGAAAAATGGGGACACTTGACCAAGAATTGTTGGTATAAAAAAGACAAGAGATCGAAAGGGAAGGACGAAGGAGCGAACCTTGCACGTCAAGATTCAGATGATTCTGAAGGTGGTATGATGGTTATGGCTGCAATTGCAGATAACCATGTTGAATCCAATATCTGGTTTCTTGACTCAGGTTGCTCGAACCACATGACTAGTCGAAAGGAGTGGTTGGAAGATTTTGACGAGTCGAAGAAGAGCAAGGTAAAACTTGCTGATAATAGTTTGTTGCAAGCAGAAGATACTGGCAACATAGTTTTTCAAATGAGTAATGGAGGGAAAGCTATGATCAAAGATGTGCTCTATGTACCCGGAATAAAATGTAAATTGCTAAGTGTTGGACAACTAGTCGAAAAAGGTTTCTCAGTTGTCATGAAAGATGGAGTTTTGAAACTGTTCGACACAAAGAACAATTTGGTCTTAAAATCTCCATTGTCGAAGAATAGGATATTTAAGACTATGATCAGTTCGACAAAAGTTCAATGTTTGAAAACTGTTGTCGACCACAAGGATAGTTGGTTGTGGCACTTGAGGTTTGGACATTTGAATTTTCGATCACTTAATCAATTGATTACTCAAGATATGGTTACTGGTATTCCAAGTCTTGAGATGCCTGAAAAACTTTGTGAAGGTTGTTTAGTAGGAAAGCAATCCAAAAATTCTTTCATTTCGACTATGTCAATGAGATCATCCTGCATTCTCGAAGAGATGCATTCAGATGTATGCGGTCCATTCGAAGAACATACAATTGATAGAAACATATATTTTGTTTCATTTGTCGATGAGTTTAGTCGAAAGCTGTGGATCTATGTGATCAAACGAAAGAAAGAAGTATTTGAAATCTTTAAGAGATTCAAGATACTTGTCGAAAACCAGAGTGAGAAGAAGATCAAAGTTCTGCGAACAAATGAAGGTGGCGAATACACATCCAAGATGTTTGTGTTAGAACATAGTTTGATTCTACAACCCTTAGTTAGAGTTTTGATGATAATAAATACAAAGAACAAATATGCACCCTAAAAATTATGTTATTGTGTATGCAGAAGTTCTGAGCAAAGCAGCATTAGAAGTTAAGCTATAGAAGCTACACGCTGAGGTAATCAGAATTTGCGCTGAAGATTGATGACTAGAACCTGCACTTAAGTGAAGTAAACTCTGATTCTGAACAGAAGCATTATAATCTAAGTCATAAATGTTCTGAAGCATCAGCAGCAGACAAGAATGTAAAGATTCTGAAGCGTTACTATTCAATCAAGACAACATCAATTACAACGGCTTCATTCAGACAGGATCTTCTCCAAATGGAAACTGCTTTAATGATCATTATCACGCTTAATAATGAACATGATTCCATTGCCTATATAAACAAGATAAGTGATCAAATCATTTATGATTTTTCAATGCTACGGAAATACAAATCAAAACGCTGCAAGCTTACTCATCTCTATTCCACGCTCTAAATTTGTGTAAAATATCACAGTTGTGATAACTGTTTTTGTAACAAAAAACAACTATACACAGTACTCTTGTATCCTTGATTAAGACAGTTTTCCTTGAGATTAACCGGATTGTGGTTGTACTCAAGAGGACTTTGACAGTTGTCAAAGTAGTGATTGTAATCTATTTGTGATTAGTGAATTAAGTCCTCGTTGGAGAGAGGCGAAATCACCTTGACGGGTGGACTGAAGTAGTTTGAGATCAAACGAACCAGGATAAAAATAATGTGTCACTGCGCATTTG